CAAAGTGTTTCTTGCAACTTTGTAATTTTGTAGTTTTTGACCTCCTGAACAAAAAATGTAAAAGGCAAAATTCAAAAAAATGGACAGATTTTTTTAATAATTAAGGTTTAAGTTTTAAAAAAAGTGTTAAAAGCGAAAAAAATTCAAAAATGAGTAAAACCAAAAAAACTAAATAAACTTTCTTAAAACTCGTTACACGGGGGTTTTCGGGGTTGCTGATTACGAATTCGATGTCAATTTTTAAAAATCCAAAATGGTGGATCCAAAATGGCCGACCAATTTTTTTAAATTCATAATTTTTATTTTTTCGAATAATCATTTATTCTAATTTTTAAATAATAGAATTATCTACTGACATAATATTTATTTTGCCGAAAACTTCTTTAGCATAAACTTCATTCTTCCGAATTGTTATTTGTTACAATTATTAATTCTCCGAATGATTACATAACCTAAAATTCATTCATACTAATCGCCATTTAATATAATTTGCATGTTTTTGAAATGTCATTTCACATAATTTTTATATTTCGAAATAACGTTTAACACAATTTTTATTTTTTCGAATAATCATTTATTCTAATTTTTAAATAATCAAATTGGGATCAGAAATCACGCGAAACTGACCCACCTCTGAGCCTTCTTGACAACCATTTTGGTTTTTTATCTCTTTCTTTTGCATATGTTAGAGAAAGACGTAATGAAAACATGGCCACGACAACAAGGCTCTCACCAGATGGTGTATCGCAGTATTTCAGATCCCAATTACCTTTTAACATAAATTTTTCTTTTGACGAATGACCATTGATTAGAAGTTTTAAATGTTCGAATTTCAATTATCTAGAATTTTCATCTAATCACATTTCCATTTAGTATAATTTTTATTGCTTCGAAATATTATTTTACATAAATTTCAATTTTCTAAACTTCATTTGTTATAATTGTTATTTTTCTAAAATTCACTGACACTATTTGCTATTTGACATAATTCACAAAACACAGAAAATTCAAAAGTCCTAAATTTTGTTTTGCCGATATATAATTTTTCATAATCTCTATTTCTTATAATAGTCACTGTACATAAATTCCTTTTTTCGTATTTTTAAATAACATATGATCCAAACAACAGAAATTTCATTTCATCTAAAATATCACGTCTTAGTTTTTAAGCAGATGTGTTTTAAATTTTTTGATTAAAATAGTCGGTAAAGAAGATGTAGATTATACATAAATAAAAAAAATCTTTATTTTCTTTACCGACAATTTTAATCAAAAAATATAAAACACATAGATGGGAAACAACTGCTTAAAAACTAAGACGTGATATTTTAGATGAAATGAAATTTCTGTTGTTTGGGTCATATGTTATTTGAAAATTCGAAAATGGGAACTTATGTACAGTGACTATTATAAGAAAAAGAGATTGTGAAAAATTATATATCGGCAAAACAAAATTTAGGACATTTAAATTTTCTGTGTTTTGTGAATTATATGTCAAATAGCAAATAGTGTCAGTGAATTTTAGAAAAATAACAATTATAACAAATGAAGTTTAGAAAATTGAAATTTATGTAAAATAATATTTCAAAGCAATAAAAATTATACTAAATGGAAATGTGATTAGATGAAAATTCTAGATAATTGAAATTTGAACATTTAAAACTTCTAACCAATGCGGTCATTCGTCAAAATAAAAATTATGTTAAAAGGTAATTTGATTATTTAAAAATTAGAATAAAGGATTATTCAAAAAAATAAAAATTATGTTTAAAGTTATTTCGAAATATAAAAATTGTGTGAAATGACATCTCAAAAACATGCAAATTATATTAAATGGCGATTAGTATGAATGAATTTTAGGTTATGTAAGCATTCGGAGAATTAATAATTGTGACAAATAACCATTCGGAAGAATGAAGTTAATGCTAAAGAAGTTTTCGGCAAAATAAATATTATGTCAGTAGATAATTCTATTATTTAAAAATTAGAATAAATGATTATTCGAAAAAATAAAAATTATGTTAATTGGTATTTCGCAATATAAAAATATTATCGAGTTTTAAGAAAGTTTTTTACGTTTTTTTGGTTTTACTCATTTTTGAATTTTTTTTCGCTTTTAAAACTTTTTTTTTAAACTAAAAACCTTAATTATTAAAAAATCTGTCCATTTTTTTGAATTTTGCCATTTACATTTTTTGTTCAGGAGGTCAAAAACTACAAAATTACAAAGTTGCAAGAAATTTCACCGGATCCCAAATTCCCATGTATATGGTGCGGGGTTCTTTATTTCATATTTAAATCTTTAATAAATCCCGATAAAATGGCATTTAAAATTAAATGAATGCCTCGATGGATGCTTATAGTGTATTCACAGTACCCGTTACTCTAAATATTAAAAAAATAATAATAATTTTTAAATATTTTTAAATAATTTTGTTTTAATTTTTCAAAACTTCAAGAACAAAGTTATGGTTTCAATAGTTTTTTTTTTTTGAGATTTTGAAAAATATATTTCTAATTTTACTGACACATGTAATAATGTAAATAGAAAATAAATTTAATCTCTAAAACTACTGTAACTTTGACCCTATATACAATCTGAATATTGATTTATCTAAATAAAGCATCAACTGTTCTATAAAAATAGAATCAAATTTTTTTTTTAAATAAAGCATTAAATTTTTATATAAGGAAAACATAGAACAAATTTAAATTTTGTATCTGCGGTTAAATATAAAAATAGTAGGTAATTTCAATATTTTGTTCTCATCGTTATTCATTAGAAAAATAATGAGAAATTATTATAGTAACCTTGTTTAAATTGAAATTAAACAATAAATCCATAAAATATAGATAAAATAAAAAAAAATTGTTCACAATATACTTTCACAAGTAATAAATTGAAATTAATAGTAATCTCTCACTCTCTCTCTCTCTTTTTCTCTCTGGGAAACTAAAGTCGTTTAGAAGTTTTGCTTGTGTTTCTGTGGAATGTTCAATGAAAGCGAATCACTTATAATATCAGAAAATATAGTGACTAATAGTTGCAACTTTGCTGACTAAATCCATTATATTATTCCGTGTGTTGTATACAATTTCTGGAGGACGCATTAATATTATACATTATAGAATTTATAATTTTTTTTTTCGCAGTCAAAATCGAAAATTTCTATTTTAAAATAATTTTATAAAGTAGAATTTATATTGAGGCGAATATTCATATTTAAATAATTTTTTCTTTAAATTATTTATAATTTAACAGAATTTCTATTTAGCCGAATTTTTATATTAGTAAATTTTCTATTTTGTCGAATTTTCATTTAATACAATTCAATTTCAATTTGGTTAAATGAAAATTGGGTGAAAAGAAAATTCAGTGAAATAAAAAGTTTTATTAAATGAAAATATTCGATTAAATACAAATTTCTATACTAAAAAGATTTCCTTGATTTTTAAAAATTTCTTCAACAAGACATCAATTTTTCAAAAATTCTTAAATATTTTTGTTCTAATGCTTCTATAATTTTCTAATTTTCTTTTTGAAAATTTGATGAAAAATATGCCCGAAAAATAATTTATTAGATTTTTTTGGAACTTGTAGATTAAATTTCCTTTTTAAAATAATTGTTGATATATTTCAACTTTTTTTTTTAAAAAACATTTTAAACAAACTACTTTTTTTACAAAAATTTTGAGCCTTGTTTCGTCGTAGGGAAACGATTTTTTTGGAATTTTAAAAGATTTTTTAATCTTAGTATTTTTTTTTAAATACCTCCGATGTTTTTGATATTGTATTTAAAAAAAAATCATAGTATCAATTCCCGCAAATTTGATTATTGCATGGTGAAAAATATAAAAGAAAAATTTTTATTTTTTTTGTCTTTCTTGGATAAAATGAAGAACATTTTTAAAAATTTTTTAAACAAAATTTGAAAATCTCATGCAAATACATTATTTTTTATATATACGATTTTACAAAAATTTTATATTCACTATGAAAAGCATAAAAAAGACTTAAAATTTGTAGTTTTTTATTTTGCGTTTTATGTTGCACATATTTTATCATAAAGAAAATATAAATTTACCGATATTTTCACTATAATTTTCATACTTAGCGCATTAAAATATACAAATATATACGTAGTATCAAAAAAATCGGATGTATTTATAAAAAAAATCGAAATTTAGAAAATTTTTAAAAATTGTTTTTCTACGATAGAACACAAAGCTGAAGTACTCAACGTTTTTTGATAACACAGAAAATTAAAAGGCATTAAAATAAGCTGCAACGCTTATTATTTTAATCCAATTTTGCTTATTTTAATACCAAAAAGGGTTTAAAATAAGCAAAATTGGATTAAAATAATAAGCGTTGCAGCTTATTTTAATGCCTTTTAATTTTCTGTGAAACAATTTTTGAAAAAAATAATTTTAAAAATGGAAAAATTTATGATTTTTTGCTTAAAAAATGTTTTTGTAGTTTTTATTAATCAGAAAATTATAAAAAAATATTTTTGAAGTAAACAATTTTATAATTTTCCTTGTTAAATAAAAATTGATTTCTAATCGTTCTAAACGTTGTGTACTTCAGCATCGTTATGGAACAAGGATTTTATTTTTGTAAAAGAAAGTATTCTTATGAAAATTTTGTCAAAAAAAAAATTGAAGGACAGATTATAAAATTCTGCTTAATAGAAATACTAAATAAATTATTCATATGGTTGAGGATTTCGGCTAAATTTTTTTCAGTGTACAGTTGTGAAATTCTAACAAAAATTTTGTGCAATTCCAACAAAAATTTTGTGCAATTCTGTATAGAGATTATGTGTGTAATTCTTATAAAAAATTCGCAAAATTACAAAAGAACATCTTTCAAAAATTTTGCGGAATTCCGTATATAATTTTTACGGAATGAAGATCTCACGTGGAATGCCTTATATATAATATTGGTTTCATGTATATGTATTTCTGCGGAAACATAAAAAAATTGGTATACACACCTTATATTTTCTAATGGAATGAAGCTGTTGTTGAGTGGGTTCGGTAGTGGTGTTATCGCTTGGCTCCACATTGTTGTTTTGAGTGGAAAGACGAAGATTATCCTTGGGTGGTCTAGCGGGTGCTCTTTTCTGATCTCTGGGCGGAATAGCAGGTTTGACTCCATTGAGACCAGCCTAAAAATGCATCCATATCGTCCAGATTAATTGTTCCTCTCATTTCCTTATTAAAACAAGGTGAACTACCTACTCTTTTCTTTCATTGCAATTAAACTCTTTTTTTCATATATTTTTTTCTTTTCATTTTTTTTTTTTTTTATATAAGACAAAAACACCATTGTCATTATCATTGTCAACTATAAGTATAATATGAGTCACTCGAAAGTGTCTCTTGAGCATTTTAATATTATACTCAGAAAAATAGGAGACAATATAGGCGTATATATATATAGTTTTGCATATGGATAGACAATGTATATAGAGAATATGAAATTATTCAGATTAGATGTATATATAATATATTTAGAAAATTAAAATTAACATGCTTGTTTATGAAACTTACGAAATTCATGCTATTTCTCGTATAGTTTCCACCTTCTCCGACTATATTCTACACTGTGACTTTCTGTACCTTAATGAAATTTAATTTCAACATTTTTATTTTAAACACATTTTTTTCTTTAATTATTAATAGTAAAAAGTATGACTATTTGTTTTTAAAATTAAAATTTTACTTGTAAATTACTGACCAAGTTATTGTAAATAACTGCGAAATTAAAAATTGTAATTTTTTTTTTAAAGCCTACAATCGAAAGAAATTTTTGATCATTATTTTTTTATTATTAAAGGTGTAGATTTTATAATAAATTGCGGATAAAGATTAAAAATTTCTGAGATTAAAAAAAGAATACCATTTTTAGGTTATGTTACTAGATATGTTTAATTTTAATGTCAGTAATTTTTAATCTTTAACCAAAAAAAAATTATTTAATGATATAAAGTATGAAAAATAAAATTGTTCACTTTCGAACAAATTTTTTTTTTAATTTTAAATTAAAAATTAAGAAAATATGTCGATGTTTAAGTCCACAACGTTTATGATCAACAATTGCAAAACATTATTTTTTAAAGTGGAAAATTATAAAAAAAATTTTATCTAAAAAAAAATATTTTTTTTAATGTTTTAATCAATAAACATTGGGAAAAATATTTTTGAGACAAAAATTTATAGAATTTTTTCATACAAAAATATATTTCTTTAAAAATTGTTAAAAATAAACATTGTAAACTTCAGCATCGTAAAATATGGAGGTGCACTAACTTTTGATTTGACTATCTTATTTTTTCTTAAAATAATAATTTTTAAGATTTTAATTCATAATTTCTGAACTTTAAGTAAGTAGAAAATTTAATTTTTGTCGGTGTTGAATTAAAAAATATCGAATTTTTATGTAGTAAAATTTTATGAAGTGAATTTTACAATAAACCGAATTTTCAAATAGAAAATTTTTTATTTATTCAATCAAAATTTTCCATAAAAACGTTTAAAATCATTGCAGCGTTTTTTTCCAATAGTGCTCACAAAAGGTTAAATAATATTTTGCGGATCAGTGTTTGCTCAAAAATATTCTTATAATGTGACCAAAAGTTGACATAAATTTCATATCAATAGATAAAGAAACATGAACAAAATGACAAGTGCTGCACAACTGCGGAGCTGCTGCATAAACAGTGGACTCTCCCTTAATTTTTATTTAAATTGCCCTCAATTTCTATTTAACAAATTTTAAGTAATTCAAATTTTTAAATGACAATTTCCAATTCACCGAATTTTTATTTGCACCAAACCAATAGTTTGAGTTAATAAAACTTGAGACTCTTTCTTTATAAATTAAAAATTGAGGGGTGCGAACCTAAGTAATAAATGTGCGATTCCAGGTGAGATTTTGACTTTTTCGGAGTAGGTTAACCCATTGCAATGAAACTTTGGAATTTTGTTATATATAGTAAGACTAATTTCACAAGCCTACAAATTTTAGACCCAGAAACCGGAATAGTCATTCCCGATGTAATTTATCGCGCTAAATCAAAAAATAACAAGCAAATTGCTCTATCACGTCAGCATTTTGAGATATTCTAACCTAAAAGTGTAAAAAATGCCGGTTTTGGCAATATTTGATACTCTATAAAATCGAAAAAATTTTTGTTTAATCATTGGTCCAAATTTCAAAAGAAAGTATTATATTTCCCCTTTCAAAATTTTCTTGGCTTGATCTGATCCAATTTCTTTCTCTGAGATACAGCCATTTGCGTTTTACATTGCATGAAAAAAAATCCCTTTCAAAAAGAAAAATAAATTACGAAGTACTCATGGCACTGAAAATTGTTACTCAGGGGGTTTTAAAATCGCTAATTACGAATGTGATATCAGATTCAAAAATCTGACGTCAGATTCGTAATTAGCGACCTCAAAAATCCCCGAGAAGTAAGTTTCAGTGATATGAGTATTTTGCAATTTATTTTTCTTTTTGAAAGGGATTTTTTTTCATGTAATGTAAAACTTAAATGGTTGTATCTCAGAGAAAAAAAATTGGATCAGATCGAACCTAGAAAATTTTGAAAGGAGAAATATAATACATTCTTTTGAAATTTGGACCAATGATTTAAAAAATTTTTTGTCGATTTTATAGAGTGTCAAATATTACTAAAAACTTCATTTTTCACGCTTTTAGGTTAGAATATCTCAAAATGCTAACGTGATAGAGTAATTTCCTTGTCATTTTTGGATTCAGCGTGACAAATTACATCGAAAATGACTATTCCGGTTTCTGGGTCTGACAAAATCCAAAATTTTGTAGGCCTGTGTTTTTAACGTAAATTGCAGCTTAAAATATTTGTTAGTTTACGAGATTTTGCAATAATAACAAAAAAATTTTAAACTGCTATATCTTCCGTTCTAATAATCGGATTGAGGTCTACTTTTTTTTTAAAATGTCAAGGAAAATGAGAGGAATAAATCTCTTTCAGAACAATTTTTTATAATTTTACAACTAAAAAAATTATTAAATAATAATTGAATAAATTTCAAGTGACAATCTAAAATTCAATCATTTAAACGCTAAAATGATCTTACAAGTGTTTTCTTTAATGTTCCAAAGGAATCCAATTGTAAATGCAAGTTTAACTTGGTTAATTTTAATAATTTACGAGTATAAACAATTGCGATTTCTGCTAGTTGACGTGCAGACGACATTGCGCACGCAGCATTCTCACGTATCCAATTTAGTCCACCAATCACGTCAGCTGGTTACAGGAGAATGCTGCGTGCGCAATGTCGTCTGCACGTCAACTAGCAGAAATCGCAATTGTTTATACTCGTAAATTATTAAAATTAAATAAGTTAAACTTGCATTTACAATTGGATTCCTTTGGAACATTAAAGAAAACACTAGTAAGATCATTTTAGCGTTTAAGTGATTGAATTTTAGATTGTCACTTGAAATTTATTCAATTATTATTTAATAATTTTTTTAGTTGTAAAATTATAAAAAATTGTTCTGAAAGAGATTTATTCCTCTCATTATCCTTGACATTTTAAAAAAAAGTAGACCTCAATCCGATTATTAGAACGGAAGATATAGCAGTTTAAAATTTGTTTGTTATTATTGCAAATCTCGTAAACTAACAAATATTTTAAGCTGCAATTTACGTTAAAGATTAGTCTTACTATATATAAAACAAAATTCCAAAATTTCATTGCAATCGGTTAACCTACTCCGAAAAAGTCAAAATCTCGCACCTGTAATCGCACAAATTGAAAATTGTGGTGATTATTTAATTGAAACTACTCACGATCTTCTCGATACAATATTCAATTGTCAATCCTTCTTCAAGTATATTTCACCCTGTCCTGATCTGAATTATCAGATACTCAAAATTATATGAAACCAAATAATATACAATTGTTGACTATATACTTGAGAGCTCGGAGTCTCTGAAATTCTTAGGCATTTAATTATCGCCCTATAAATACGGCACTGAACGTGAAAATGATAAACATTGATTTTAAAATACTTTTTTCTCAAAACGCGGACACTTTTTTCAAAATCGGAAAAAATACCAAGGATCCTTATTTTATAAATTTCTTAAATCTAAAAGATTGTGCAAATCTATACAAAAACGCGATTGTAAAATGAAAAGTACGAAAGTAATATAATGACAGCTGTTTCTGCCATCTGGCGGCGGCAGGACGTAATGAACGTGTCATTATATTACTTTCCTACTTTTCATTTTACAATCGCGTTTTTGTATAGATTTGTACAATCTTTCGGATTTAAGAAATTTATAAGATAAGTATCCTTGGTATTTTGCCCGATTTTAAAAAAAGTGTTCGCGTTTTGAGAAACAAGGAATTTTAAAATCAATGTTGTAATCATTTTCACGTTCAGTGCCGTTTTTATAAGGCAATAATTAAATGCCTAAGAATTGCAGAGACCGTTCGACCCTTTAAATTGACCAATCATAAATTATCAAGAAAATTTTGATTGGCTAAAAATTGCACTGCAATCTTTTTGTTGGTTTTTTTGTTTGGACATTGTCAATTTCGGACAAATGAAAATTCGGTAATTAGAAATTTCTGATATTTAAAAAATCGAATAACTGAAAATTCTATTAAATGTGAATTTAGTTAATGAAAAAATATTGTCAAGTTAATATTCAGATAAATAGAAATTCTACATAAGAATTCTGATAAATAAATACTCTTTTTTATGGAAAATTTTGCTAAACATATAAATTCTGTCAAATAAAAATTGTTGAGACAAGCAATTTTCTAGTTTAATGAAATTTAATAATTTTATTGAAAACTGCGTTCACCTGATGCGGCTAGGTTCAAACCGCTAGGGGTTTGAACATTGTATTAATTGAAAACTCAATGTATTAGAAAATCTGCTACATATTGTTCAGATAACAAAAAATCTATTAGATCAGATTTTAATTAAGTAGAAATTCTAATAAATCAGAATTTAGTTAAATAGAAATTCTTGAATGTGGAAATTTGACTCATCAAATTTGAATTATAAAATTCTTCTAAATAAAAATTCAATAATTTTTAATTCGACATCACAAAAATTCCGACAAGTCTAATGTGGTATTCATTAATTTTTTCTTCATCAATAATTAATTTAAATATTTAATTGAATATCCATTAATTTGAAAATGGTACAAGAAAGTCGTTACCTTAAATGACAAAACCCCTGGAAAATGCTGGGAAAATAAAAAAAAAAAATTGTTATATCATTTTACCTCTTTTTTATCATTGTTGCCAAGTTCCTTTGCGCTTTCAGGTGCATTTTCTAAAGATGGTGCATTTGATGATTCATCATTACCAAAGCAATTTCTTCTCGTCCTCTTATTATTATTATTATTATTATTAGTTCTAATAGTGTTAATACTACTATTTGATTTTTGCTTTTCAACTGTACTTGAAAAAAGATGGGGATCAGATAACCATGATTGTACTTTTGAAAATGAAAGATCCAAATTATTTGGTAAATCAACATCACTTTTTGACATTAATTTACTAATTTCTAAGAAATTTGTAAATAGTGATAAATTTGATTCATTTGATACTTTATATTCAAGTGAGAGACGGGAATTTTTAATATTTTGTGTATTTGGTGATTCATCGAGTGGATTTAAACTATCGTGCGATAATTCACTTTCTAATTCAATTTCATCGAGAAGAAGATTTTCCTTCTTTTCTGGTGTGAAATAAACAATAAATGGAATTCCTTTACGTAATTCCCTTAAGGAATTACGTGAATTTTGATTTTTTTCACGATTAAAGGATGATAACTCGTCAGTTAATGGCTGATATTTTTTAAACGATATCATCCTTGAGTCGTCATGATTTGTTAATTCAGAAATAGAATTATTTTCCTCAATGTTAATTTCACATAAAGCATTTATGTTAGAATTAATTTTCACAGAATTTTTATTTTCCATATTAATATTTGAAGCATCAATTTTAGAAGCATCAATTTTAGAAGCATCGATTTTAGAAGAAATAGAATTTAAAGAAGTGGTAGACAACAAAGAGGTGTTAGTTTTCATAGAAGTATTAAAATTAACGCAAGGATTTTCAAATGACAAACAATATGTCGATTGTGTTTCCTCACTGTCAGGTGTTTCAAATCCATTGGAAAGAAGATTTTCCTCTGAATTTGATTTTTTATCATTTCTTGAATTGTAAAGTTGAAAAGATCGCGAGATAATATCAACTCTTTGACGGCGACTATTATTGTCATCATCAAGAAATGATGATTCGCCAATTGCATCATTACGAATATTATTAGAGAAAGTTGGTGAGTGCGTTGTGCGATAAGCAATAAGCGTGGGTTTGTGATTTGAATTGTGCTTTAGATTTGAGAAGAAGCTTTCTACGAAGAGACTTTTGACTCTGGACCTTACCTTCTTGTCATGCTTTTGTTGCACGACTATGGTCTCCCGAGAATTATCAGAGGATTGTGGTGGGAGGCTATAGCGATTCTTGTTTGCTGCCTCCTCGAGTTCAATTTTATGAGCAATCTCTAAATCTCTTGGACTGAAGTGAGCGGAATGACGTTTTTGTTCAAGGGTGTTGTGCTTGCTGTTTGTGGGTGTCTTATTTGGTGGTGGATAAACTGGATGTGATTTTGTCACTGGTATAAAATCATCTGGACAATCAACAGCGACTTCGCGATAATTTTTGTTACCGACGACGAGGAATGAATGATCGACTTGATCATAGTCTGTCGACACTTCACTTCTTAATGTTGAATAACCACTTGATGTTTGTGGTCTTCGTTTTTTTGATTTTGATTTTGTTGATGAGAGATTAACATCGGTGATTAAATCATCTGTCGATGCAATTCGCATTAATTCATCGGAATTTTCAATTGATGTATTCATTATTTTTACATTGTCTGATGACGTTTTCTCTTCTTTCCACTTTTTGGGTATTAAAACTTGTTCGTCGATTAAACGAGTGAGATCGGTGACCTCATCGGATCTCATGAGAAAACCTTGTAAATCGGTGAGGCCATAGGCGGGATTTTCAAATGATGTTGTGTTAAATATTGGAGTGACTTTAATATCTGACACTAATGATCGACAAGGTGAGCCAAGATCAATTCGACGTACATCATAGGGAAGTGAATCATTTTCACATGGTGAATCGTGTCGAAGAACGAGACTTGAATCTAATGGTGCTGTACTATCGGATCTTCCTGATGAGCTTCTGGGACTTGCTGAATCATCGCTGCAACTTTTAAGCATCGTTGGATAGTCCTCCTTGGCAAAGGGATAATCTTCCTCGGTGTCGACGTTTGATTCCTTTTGATTGGAATGATCGTCGTCTTCCTCCTCTTCTTCTTCTTCTTCTTCCTCGTCGTCGGAACTCTTGAGTGGATCTTTCAAGTCTGGCGATCCAGAATTCGTTGAATTGGCTTGGATGATTGTTTTATCGTCCTCGTTTATTTGATCTGGTGAATTTATGAGATTCTTGTTGATTGGATTTTGTATTTTCAGCAGCTCGATGGTTATTATTGGTGGTGGCTCGAGGGGTGAACAATTTTTTGAATCGCGCTTCTTTTTGGGAGTGAGTGTTGAGGATTTTTTATGGGTATCATTACGATGATTTTGGGAATGAATATTATTGCTAGCGCTACGGGATTGTCGTGGCTCGTTCCTACATGGGGATGATGAACCGATTATTACCTTATTGGGATATGCCTGTTGAAGGAGTGTGTCAGGGACATCGACGGGCAGTTCCCGATGGTGGCCCAGGGCACCTGAGCCCCACATCTCATCGGGCCCCAAACCCTCACGCGACTCCTTCGTATCCTGCGAGCTACTGTTGTTATTCTCCTGAAACTGTGATTGTTGTTGTTGATTTTGCTGCAGGTGAATCTCTGCCACGCCACTTCCAGTGCTACGCCTTCGGGACCTGAAAAAATTTTTAATTTTTACATTAGTTTCTAGTAAATCAGGTTGGAAAAATTATCATTACAGGGTATATTAAAAAGCAGATTATAGCTTTATAAAATTACCAAAGGAGCAGGGAGAAAAAATTCAATTTTTTTTTATTTCTCTACAGTAGCATTTTACTAAGCTTCCAACATTAGTACAAGTTTTAGATTATGTTGCGTTCTGATTTTTCAGCTTTGTGCATTTCGAAAAATGTAAAAAATTTCTTTTTACTGAAGATCCAAACGCTTCATAAGTGCGATAACTAAATCTAAGAGTTATTTCAGTGATATAATAATTCAAGTTTCAGAAGTCTCGAATTACCGAATTGCCGTAAGTTATAAGTATCCCATTTGACATTATAATCAAACATGTCGTAGAAACCGTTTTAGCGCGAGTATTGAAATTAACCAATTAAACAATTAACAAGAAAGTTATGATTGGTTAATTTCAAAACTCGCGCTAAAACAGTTCTTGGCTTCTATCCGAGATGTTCGATTATGTCAAATGCGGTAATTCTGTTAGAAATTCCGTGCAAATTAATTTTGAAGTTGTAGTTATTCGGAATCTAAAAAATATAATTAATTAAAAATTTATTTTTTAAAATTATGACAAAATAAATATTTTGCTGATAATATTCTAAAAAAAATCTCACACGCGTACATTTGTTGTAGGTACATATAAAAATGTATGAGACAATAAAAAAAAAAAAAACAATGAACCTATATACACAATAAAGAGAATTTAATTTCGACAGGAAATTTTATACCCGAAAAATGCCATCTGTTTAGAAAGGATAAAAATACAGGGTCTTGTGCAAAAGCGAGTCGACGCGACGCATCGCATCCGCCAGTTCATACGTTTAAATAAAAGGGAATTCATGAGGCAAACGATGTTGAATAAAGAGACAATGGAGTTTGAAGACAAAAGGCATAGGAAATACGTACACGTGGTTCCGTACCAACAGTGGTTTTCATCGACCGATCATCAACGTATACCCTATGGGTAACGGATCTTTTTTTTTTCCTCCATTTTAATAATCTGTTTTTACTTCCTATATATTATAACAATTTCATCAACGAACGACAATAAATTGTCTCCTCTAAGGTATTTTTAAGAGAAAAGATATCAAATTCATTTCTTATGAGTAACTATATATATATTTATAAATGTGTATACGATACGATACAATAATAAATTAATCGTTGTCGTAATAATGAAGCAATTCCTGTCATTTTTTTTAAGTGTTATTTTTCAATTTATCGCGAAAAAAAAATGTATGAAACATATTTCAAAATTTATTATACAGCTCCCTTGCACGAGATTATGTTTCGAGTTGAATTATTATTATATTTTTGTTAGTCCTTCCTTTCTTTTTACTCTTTAAAAAAAGATTTATTAAAAAATAGAAATTTTACGTTACATTTTTTTAAAATAAAAATATATAAAAATATATAGAAATGTATATAAAATGATTCAATATTAAAAAATACTGAATTCCAGGGTTTCAATTATTAAAAAGAAATTAATCCGTAAATAAATGTTTTTTTTTCTCTCTTTCTCTATCACTTTTTTTTTGTCGGTATTTTCCTAGATTATTATGGGCCCATTCTATAAATTCGTGAGTAATGATTAATCATAAATTATAAAATATTGGTCAAGTCATCATTAAATAAAACATTCAGGTATAAAAATATTTATCTATCGAAATATTTTTTTTGTAAAATTATTATTGCCAGAGACGAGTTGATATTATTACAAAATACACAACGTTGAAATATTTTATAATCACTGATTAATAACAAAGTGAAATTTTGCAAGTAATCAAAAATAATGTCATGAATTATTAATTTTTTTATTTTAAATAAAAGACAAAGAAAATTTTTTAGATAAAGAAAATTTTATATGTGCCATTCCATGAGTTTTTTTAATCACTTTTCGGAGTAACCTTTCCAAATTAAATAAAACATTTTTTTTTTATAATATTTATTAATATAAAGGTCCAAAATAATCACTTTTTAAGTAAAAATAATTGTTTATTTAAAAAATACAACAATAAATAATGAAAAAAAAATTCACTTTTTTTCTGCACCACCAAATAAATTGGTTTAAAGATCGAAATTTTCCTTATTTTTCAAGCTTTCATAGCGCACAAGAAAAATGTCATAATTCGAAATAGTTAACTGACAATTTATTAAACAATGTTTGTTTACTTTTTTATATTGTATTTACTGTGAAACGTCTGCTAACGCTGCGCGCGACTTTAGGAAGTTGTCGCTCTCGTTATTGAGCAGAAGCTCATGACACTAGCGTAGTAGAAAACATGTTGTGCGAAAAGTGAGGTTATGTTGTCATTAAACGAAACGTAAACATTTCTGGTTATCACATTGAATGGTTTTGAATTATCTACGTTTTAGTAAAAAATCAAAAAAAAAAATTTTGAATAATGAAAAACCTTACTTTTTACACAACATGTTTTTTACTACGCTAGTGTAATGAGCTTCTGCTCAATAACGAGAGCGACAACTTCCAAAAGTCGCGCGCAGCGTTAGCAGACGTTTCACAGTAAATAAAATACAAAAAAGTAAACAAACATTGTTTAATAAATTGTGAGTTAACTATTTCGAATTATGTCATTTTTCTTGTGCGGTATGAAAGCTTGAAAAATAAGGAAAATTTTGATCTTTAAAACAATTGATTTGGTGGTGCAGAAAAAAAAGTGAATTTATTTCATTAGGGTCAGTCCAAAATACTTTTTACCGGAAGACGTTTTTAATTAAAAAATAAATAAATACGTATATAGTTCCCGTATTTTCAATTTAAAAATGTACAAAAATGAATCGCAGGAATAAAAATATTAGATAAGAATTACATTAAAGTTTTTTGTCACTGATTATGTTACAGCAATATTATTTATAGAAAGAAATTTTTTTTTCTTTCTAAAGAAAAATAGTTTATGAGAATATACAAGTTGAGACTGTCAATTAGTGATTTAAAATTAAATGTTGAACGACTCAACAAAATGTTGGTTTGAATTTAATTACAAGGTGTATACATATATTGCAATGCAATCCGCGCGCATCCGGCGTTTTCTTGCACAAGTGCATAAATACCAAGCTAGAATTCTCTAAAGTTTAAAATGGATATATATATAGCAACGAAAGAGTTATTATAGAGCTTTGGACTTGAAATGGAGCACAAAAAAGATATATAGAGAGTACAATATATACAGAATTCAAGATACTGGTTTTCTAGTTTCTACAAAAATGATGATGATGATGATGATGAGGGGAAACTCAACTGGGTCCAGTTTCGTTGTCTAAAACTGGACTACAATAATATCTAGGCTAGTCGGTGGGCAAGCTTTTATAATCCGGATTACTTTTAGTATAGAGGGAATGTCTGGTACATCAGTTTTCTATAGTCTAGTTTTATATATATGAAAAAAAAGTTGTCTATTACACTCTACTATATATATATATACTCATTTCTATATATCAAGCGTAAGTATAATTATTTTTTCCAGAAAAATCGACAAAAAAAAAATAATAAATCATATATAATAAATTGATTTCAGAATTGACAAAATTAAAAATATTCTATTTTATTGAAACTTGTATGTTTTCTATACTATATGCACGACCTGAATATGTTTATTTCTTACATAATAGAAGCCATGTAGATTTTTTCTCTCACTTTAACGCGCAATTGAAGAAAAAAGTAAGAAAATACTGAGAAATTTCTTTTTGAATTTTTGGTTAAAATTAATACAATATGCAATAATTTAAGGAGGTTCTATATCGCTTTACTGAACATGTCAAAACAATATCCATTTTTTTCTGATTTGATTCACTTTGTAAATTAGAGAGTATTATAGGATTATAAAATTTATATTATTTATTTATATATATACTTTAATTATTTCAAGAATTATATGATTTTTTTTAAATAACGCGCGCTTGATTATATTCTAACCTCAAAACTTTGACTCGCGGAATACCATGTTGCCAGACGTTGCAAGTTTTGCTCGCTGTATCACAAAAAATGAGAAAAAAAAAATTATAAATTAATTAATTCGAACTCTCACAGGTACCTATTGTCCTTTTTTAAATACAATATCGATTCATTACATATCGGTCTTTAACTATACAAAATTTGATCAATATCTCTTTGTTTAATAATTTGTAGTACAAAATTATAATGTTAAAAGAAAGATTTTAAGAGTGACAAAATTTATTTAAGAGAGTCGAATGATCTCTGAAATTTTTTGACAAGAATAGACCTTTAATTATCGCTCTATAAAAACGGCACTAAACGTGAAAATGATAAAAATTGATTTTAAAATACTTTCTTCTCGAAAGACGGACACTTTTTACAAAAGCAGCTAGAGATCCTTATCTTATATAAATTTCCTAAATCCGAAAGATTATACGAATCCATACAAAAACACGATTGCAAAACGAAAAGTAATATAATGACAGGTACATTACCTCCTGCCGCCGTCAGATGGCAGCAGCATGCAGGGCGCACAAAGTCGCAGCTGTTATTAGATTACTTTTCTACTTTTTGTTTTGCAACCATGTTTTTCTATGGATTCGTACAGTCTTTTGGATTTAGGAAATTTATAAGATGAGGATTTTGGCTGATTTTGTTAAAAGTGTTCGTGTTTCGAGAAAAAAGTATTTTAAAATCAATACTATTTCACGTTCAGAGCGATAATTAAAGCTTTCTTCTTGCCAAAGAATTTCAGATACCGTTCGACACTCTTAATGCATAAATATAAAAACGAAACAAGAAAATAACTTCATTGTTAATAAATTTATATAAACCCAAATCTAAAACATCTATTATCTATATGCATATAAGTATACATTAAATAAATTCTGGTTCCTCATAAAATACTATTTTTAAATATTTAAAACACTCAATTTGTTTTAAATTGGGCACGTAAGCTGATTTTAAAACCTATTGAGATAAGTT